GCAAAACGCAAGCCTACGCTGGCCTGGTGGACTCTGCACTGTCCTCCCGCAAACGCCCCGCCGCCAAAAAGACGGGCCAAAAAGAAACCACACGCGGGGCTCGAACCCGCAACCGCCAGATTAGAAGTCTGGCGCGCTTCCAATTGCGCCAGTGCGGCAAAAAGCCAACTACGACTAAAGCTTCAGAATCTCAGAACAAAGAGTGTACACGACCAGGTGGCTCCCTTTGGGGCACAAAGAGCTGGCCAAAGGCGCTTTGTGCCTTGCCCGTCGCAGCAGCCCGGTCCTGGCCTAGCTGGCCGTCGCCTGGAGGCCTCGGAGCCGGCGGAAGAGCGCTGCTCAAGCGATTACGGCGATCAGCGACAAAGCGAACTATACTTGAGTGTCCAGCACAACGCGTCAATATTTTTTCTTCTGCCTTTCGTTTCTTTGCCGGGCCCGTGGTCATTTTGTTCTCTATTCTTCCAGTGGGTTGCCAGAAGCCTTTTGTGCCGTGGTTACAATGAGCCTCAATAGTCGCATCGACGAGAGCCTGGAGGACATCATACGGTCAAACCGTAAGCAGCAGCAGCAGCAGCAGCCGAAGAAGAAGCAGCAGCAGCGCGAGAAGGCAATGAAGAAGGTGGCCAAGGCCAAGGCGCCAGAGCCGCGAAAGGCAAGCGTAAGTAGTATGGAGGAGTGGGTGGGCCCGGGAGTGGCCGTTGGATCTCGGGTGTGCGAATCGGCAGGCTAATTCGGCAGTGGAAAGGTATAGCGCGGCACAAAGAACAAGGGGCCGGGGCTCAGCACAGACGCGCTTGCCGGGCGGCTGGGGCGTGGATCGGGAGTGAGCAAGGTCGCAGGGCCGGGGCGGCTGGCCGGGCGCATTGGCAAGCAGCCGGCCAAGAAGGCGGGCATCAGCACGGCGCAGCTGGCAGGGAGGGCAAAGGCGGCGGCGGCGCCGCAACCAAAGGCCAAGCTGAACATCTCGATCAAGGGCGAGGCGGGGCCGGCGATGGTGTTTATCTCGAACCTGGACATGGGCGCATCGGCGGAGGACGTCAAGACGTGCTTCAGGCAGTTTGGGGCGGTCAAGGACTGCACGCTGCTCTACGACAGCTCGGGCAAGGCGTCGGGCTATGCCAAGGTCACGTATACGTCAAAGGTGGCCGCCGAGGAGGCAGCGAGCAAGCTGAACAACGCGCTGGCCGACGGGCGCCGGCTCTCAGTGCAGCTGATGCCGGCCACAAAGGCGCAGCAGAGCACTGCGCCGTTCGCTGTGGCCGACGCGGGGAAGGCGGCGCACGCTGGGGCGCGGAAGGGCCGCAAGATGCGAGGCAACGGCAGCGGCCGGATGGACGTCGACTAGCCGCGGCCATACTTTATTTCGTTGAGACTGTCTGACGGGTGACAAAACATGCGCATACGAACAAAAGCACACGTTAATATAGCCGCCAATAGGTATTCATCTCGCGTCTCTTGTCCAGAATCCGGGGCAGATGGAAGCAAACCACCCCGGTCCTTACTAGAGCGCGTTGTTTGTATCGAGCCCACGCCCTGGCTGGCCCGAGTCTGAGCCTGCGACGAGTTCCGATCACGCATTGGCCTGGACTATGGGGCCGCTGGGTGGTGATTCAGCCTGATGGAGCAACGCGCGAGATCAGGCGGCTCTTCGGGCCGGTTCCATATGATTCGGATAGCATGCGGCCCGTCCTCTCCACCAGGCGGTGGTCCCGGGACGCCAAACGCGCTGCCACGTCCGCGGAGCCGATTGCCAGCGCCGGTCCCAGCCTTTAGGACACATACTGATCAACGACTTGCTGCATCCCCGCCTGGATCACGCCAGCCGCCACAAAGCGCGCTTGATCAAGCGGGAGCCGTGCTGTGGAGCTTGGTCGTGTGCAGGCTTTCCCGCTCGGCCTTGCTTTTCTCAGAAGAAGGGACCTTAATTCACAGCTTCTAGCCTGTTCTTCAGTCCAATGTCGAGCGGGAGCAGTGTCGACTGCCACTTCTTTCTGACGGGCTCGTGCCGTAACGGCGACAAGTGCGGGTTCCGCCACAGCGAAGGCGCTCGCAACACACAGGAGACCTGCGTGGAATTCGCCCACACTGCGCAATGCTCCCAGGCCGATTGCGGCAAGCGGCACACAGAGGCGCCGCAGCGCGCAAAGAGGCCGCCGGGCGAGGTTCCGTGCCGAAATGAGGAGGGCGGTGGGGTGTGCACTAGGTCCGGATGCATATTCAAGCACGCGAACCCGCAGAGTGTCGCTGCGAGCGGTGGCAGCAAGGGCGGCGGCCCTGCCATGGGCGGCGGGCGGGGGTTGAACGCTGGCGCACAGGCATTTGTTCCGCGGCTGCGCCCGCCCCGGCATCCCCAGCTGGCAGGGAATATGGAGTGGACGCCGGCCAGCGCGACGCAGTCAGCAGGACCAAAGGCGAGCAAGGCACCAGCTCCACGGCCTCCAATGTTTGAGAACATGGAGTGGACACCGAACAGTGCAGGGCGGCCAGCGCAGCCAAAGATGGCTGCGGCACCAGCGCCGCGGCCCAAGGTGTTTGGGAACATGGAGTGGACCCCTGGCATGGCATCCAAGGCACCAGAGCCAACTCATGTTCCGGAAGCGGTCCCGGAGGCCACTAGCACGCCAGCTGCCCCTGGGTCCTTTGCGGGCTTTGGGCCTGGCCCGGTTGCCTCTGCTTTCTCGGGTCGCACGTTCGGCAACCTGGAATGGACGCCGCCAGCACCTGCGCCTGCCCAGGCGCCCACATCGACAGCAGAGTCAGCCAAAACCATTTACGATATCCTGGGGATCCCTGAAGAGAAGCCAGTACTTCCGCCCCCGCGCAGCATTCGGCAGCGCCGCAGATCTCCGGTACCGGTTGATCGGACAGAGTCGAATTCGCCTGTATCGCGCGTCTGCTATGCCTCCGAGTTCCCAGAATATGCTGTTGGAGAGTATATGGCAGAGGGCAGTACGCCGATGACGGACTATAGTATGGAGTCGGTGGATCCTACAGGGTTTGGGGAGTCTGCCACCGAAGCCGTTGCAGAGACCACTGCCGAGTCCACCAAGACGACTGTGCCAGCTTTCCATGTTCCTGATGTTGCTGTTGAGGCCTTGGAGGACACAGGTGGTACCGGGATAGCCGAGGAATCTCCAGAACCAGCTGCACTGGACAAACCAATCGAGCCCGCTAATAACGTGGATGTGACGGGACCTGCGAACCCAACGACGCTAAAGGATCAAGTGGCGCTGGAGGATCTGGAAAAAGAGCTCGAGGATCTGGATGAAGAGCTCGAGGATCCAGCCGAGTCCGCCGAACCAAAGCAGCCAGCAGAATCGGCAGCGCCAACGCCAGTGCTAGACGGCGCATTGGGCGATGGGCCGGACAACAAAACGCAGCCAGAGAAGAAAGCTGAGACGGACAAGACACAAGAAACAAAGCTTCCGACAATGCTCACATTCCAACAGATCATGGAGCGTAAACGACGCAAACAGGCAGACGCAGCAGCGGTAGCACACAAAGAGACAGGAACCGCGCAAGAGGCACCAGCGCCGGGCTTGAGGACTCCTGGCAAGCGGCAACTCGAGGATGATGTGGAGGACGACGACAGCGGGGTGACCAGCGACGGATCGGAGGGGAAGCGTGCCAAGCGAGAGCCCCCGGCCAAAAACTACCTGGCGCTGGTTGAGCGGGAGCTCGAGGACTTGACGGCGGAGCTGAGCGGGCCATTGGAGAACATGTCGCCGCAGGACAAGATAGCCAAGGCAATGCTGGATGATACCTACGCTGGCGCCAGCATCAGTTCGCTGTAGAATGTAGTGGGTTGTTTTTTATTTGGGTATACGTGTACAGTTCTTTGTTGCTCGGCTTAGAAACGGCACACGCGGCTGTCTTGGGCTGCGGCCCAGATATCCTGTCGAGTGGCAGCATCGCTCGACGAGGGCGTGACCCGGACCTGGCTGATAGGGTCGACGTCAAACGCCACCAGGTCCTCGACTACTGTAGCTCCAGCGACCTGGCCGTTGGTCGTGGTCAGCTCGACCAGGTACAGCTGGCCGTCTTCAGTAGCCACACAGACATGCGGGAGGGCAGCGTCGCAGTAGACAAGGTGGACAGCAGATACCGGGGCCTGGCCGCGGCTGAACGAGTACGTAGGGCCGGATCCCGGGTCCTTGGCAGACCACACATCGACAACGGCGTCGGAGCGGCCAGTAACGAGCAGGTGGTTCTCGGAATCGTAAGCGAGGGCGCGCACAGGCGGGCCGCCCGTGGATCCAAATTCGACAGCGGGGCTTGCCTCGTCCAGATCCACCAGCATGGCGCGGCCATCCTCGCAGGCCACAGCAACCGTGCGTCCAGCCAGGTGGATGGCGTTGATGGGCATGTCAGAGAGCTCAAATGTGTGGTTGAGCGAGGCGTCGGCGCAAGTCCACATACGCACAGTGCCGTCCTTGGCTGCCGAGAGGACCTGTTTGCCAACAGCAATGATGGCCACATCGGTGATGGCCGCCGTATGGCCGACCAGCGTAACGGGGTTGGAGCCGTCGCTAGCGGACCAGATCTTTAGGCGCATGTCCGAAGCTCCGCTCAGAACCACCTGGCCCGAAGGGAAGAACGCACAGCAGGTGATATCGCCGACGTGGCCGTCCAGACGCACACGGTGCTCGCCGGTTGATGCGTGGTACACGTCCAGGACCCCGTCGTCGCCGCCTGCCACCAGCAGCGATCCGAACTGGCTGACATCGAACGCGCGGACACCCGTGGCACGTAGAATATTCGTGCACGTCAGGGTCTGGCGCGGCGCACTGTAGAGCTCCGGCGGAATGCCTAGGCCCTCGCACGACAGACGCAGCTGCCGGGGGCCCACGTACTCGGCAGAAACTCCGCCCTCGGTAGTGAGCGTCGGAGAGTCGTCTGCCTTTTGGGCAGAGTCCACTTGCACCGTGCCATGGACAGAGTCCTTGCCGCTGCAGTAGGCGGACGCCCAGAAGCGGTGCGTGCCCTCGACACCGCGGCGGGCATTCGCAACGTCCACCTGCCAATCGGGCTGGACAGAAATGTAACCAAACACCTGAACCATTTGACTCTCCCAAGAACAAAGGCGAATAGAAAAGTAAGGGAGAGAAGAGAAGGCTCAGAAGCGGCGAGCGCTGTCCGCAGCATATTTTCTGTA